AAAAAATTAGTGTCTAATTAAAGTGCATATCCTAAACAAAATTTTTGGCTCCACTCTTGTGGATTATCAAACGGAAATAAGACAGTGAACCACATTCAACATTTTTATTTTTTTGAGGAGGTAATGTGATAAAATTAATCATTTGAGGAGGCAAATTGAAATTTTTTGTATACTTAAGAAGACAAAATAAGATTTACCCTAAAATTATAAAATTGGTTAAAGTATCATCCCGTCAAGGCGGAAGCTGTGGGTTGGAGCCCCGTTAGTCCCAAAGGATCTAATAAATACATCAATTCATTTCTACTTTTTTTTTTTTGTGAAATGAAGGTTAGAGAGCAGAATTTCATTCCCAAGAGGAGACTTTTTTTTTTTTTTACTTCCTATTTTTCTATTTTTTTAGGGGTTCCATCGAAGAAAGAACAAAGTCTAAAAAAATAGTGAAATTGTGTTGACGAATTCCACAATAAGAAGAAATCAAAATGACTCATTCGATGTCTACTCGTTCTCCACTCTTCAATTCCCAATGAACAACATGATCTTGACATATTATATATTCAATTTAGTCGATCTAATACTTAGTTAATTTTTTTATTTTTATGTTCCCACTTATACCTAGTAGATAACGAACTTGAATGGCCCTGCACTAATTGAATTGAATCATATTGTCATATGAATACCAAAATGACTTTGAATTCTAGAGTTTGGCTGAATACTTTTCCTTAATGATTAATATCAACTCCATAAGCTTTTAACTTTACAATTAGAAGCTGTAACACATGACCCATCACCGTCATTGGTCAGTTTCTCATTTCTAAGCCAGCAGTATCCCTCGCGTGATTGTGGCGATTTTCAAGGGGTCAGCAAAACTGATTAGTCCAAGTTCATATTAAGTACAGCCATAACTAAACACGTCCATTAGTCAGCTAACTATGTATTCCTCTCTCTCTCTCTCTCTCTCTCTCTCTCTCTTAATGTTTTATACTGTTATTCTTGGGATATTCTGGTATCCAAGTTCCTGGGTTTTCACTCCATCTAATCTAAATTATTTTTCTAAATCCACAGGTTCAACGATGTGTTCAAGAAAACACCAGGAAATTACAAAACAAAAAATCAAGTCATTAGAGGCCAAATACTAATGGAAAGGACCCAGTTTTGCCATCACCGCTAAGCCTCGAAAAAAAAGTCTAAACTTGGCCGTCATACCACCATTCAAAAATTCAAGGCAAACAATCCTTTACAAGTCCTTTTGAAAACTTCAATCAAACCTTTGACAGCAACCCACATTCCGTATATTAAGCTTTTCATACTTACTTTCACACTTGAGCCATTTGACATGTCTCTACTCAATTGCTTGATTCATTTCACATGATGGGTCGTGCCAGAAATTCAATGATTCTATTCCATGTGTTTGACGTTGTTGGATATTGAGTTGATTCATCCATAAAAACACCACATCGCTAGTGCAAAAAGACAACATAGCGGTTTTGAAGCTGTAAAATATCCTAAAAAAACCTTGGGATTAAAGGGCATAAAGTACGGCCTTGATCCTCCGCTTCCGCACTTGTTTTGTGATCAATTGCAACAGTTATCAAGTGAAGCTTTTTTTTCTGGCAATATATATAGGAGAGATCAGAAGTGATTGAAGCCAAGTAATGGAGAGTCAAACAGAGAAGGTCTACGTCGCCATTGGAACCGATCTGCAAGATGGTTTTGGGACCTTGCAATGGGTACTGAGAAAGTGGTCTTCTCATTCAATATCCATAGTTATTCTCCATGCAACTAATAACACATCCAGAGAATATGTTAACACCCCATGTAAGTTCACTGGTCAGATTTCTATTCCTTATCTTCTTCATGTTGTATTTTAGCAACTTGTGGTATATATATGAATTTCATCTTCTGTTGCAGTTGGAAAACTCCCTGCTACTTCTGTGAATGATGTGCAATTGGAAGATCTTAGGAAGTCTGAGCAAGGGAAGATTGACAAGATATTGTCCAAATACATAGCTTTTTGTGGCAAGGTTTGTATATGTATATGCTTCTCTATGGCTGTCAAATTCATATCATGTTGTCAGAAATTTTGTCTAATAGTTTTCACTTCTGTCTTGTTTTGTTCATAGGTCAAAGTCGAAATTCTAAAAATCGATAGAAATGATGAAGCCATTCATAAGAACATAGTTGAATTGATATCAGAACTTCGGATAACGAAATTAGTTTTGGGATTTACAATCATGAAGGCCTCATCATGGTATGGACATTGCCCTTCAATCTATTTGTTTCTTAATGTTGTCCAATACATATTGATAAATTGTTGGTTTAGATGCTATGATCATTATTCCCAATTTTCCCTTTGTCTTTTGCCTTTGTTGTGCAGGAAATCTAGGGGTGCAATCAGTGGATCATTTTATGTTCACCAGAACAAACCCAATTTCTGTGAGTTGTACATAATAATTGGAGGGAAATTGGTTTCCCTAAGAGAAGAAAACAATGAATGGCTTATTGAGGATGATCAAGGATTCGTGGTTGCTAAGGTTAGAGAAAAGAATGGTTTCAAAGGTTGGCTAGGAAAAATGTTTCCAGAAAGTGCTGCTAATAAAAAAAATCCCTATGGTTCACCATCTTCATCAACAAGGAATGATTCACCTGATCGGTGGGAGAAGTGCGTTGAAGAGATTGAAAATTATTTCAACCATTTGCAGTCTTCGAATTCAGAAGAAGATGATGCTGTGGTGGTGAGCGACATCCTGCAGAGCTCTTCCACAGATTCCGATTTGCCGGAAAATATGGTAACTAGAAGTTAATTTCAAAATTCTATGGCCATTTAGGCTTTGTTTAGAATGTGGAGTAAGAAAATATGATGTTTATGTTCAAACAATCCACACTTATCTTTCTTCTACCAATGAAACTCTTCCTTATCTTTTTGTTCATTGGACTCTACTGGAATATGATAGTGATGGGGCACTACCATGGATATGTTTGGTTCAAGGGTGCCAATGGCATAATCAGGACTAATGGCAATCCTGTTCTTGTTCTGTTTCTTTGATCTACCTTTTCTGAAACAACAGCCTTTAATATCTAATTCCAGTTTTGGATTGATCATTATCATGTCTATATAACCAAAACTACTCATACCAATAAGGATATGCTGAAGACCCTCATTTTTTGTCATATTAGAGTGTTGCAGAAAAAATAGAAGTACTGAAGATCAAAATAGGCAAAGCTCAAGAGAGAATCCAGTTGAAGAGAAGTGAAGCTAAAAGCAATATGGAAAGACATTCAAAAGCCCAATGGGCAATTTCTATATCCACTCATCGGGTATTATGATCTCTTCCTTTCTATAGTTTGTATACTTGATTAGTTTGTTGTTCTACAAGATGAATCATTTCGTACCTGTAGGCTGAGGAACTTGAAGGTCGTATAAATGAAGAGATAGCAAGGCGGGTTGATCTAAACAAAGAAATAGACTCTACAAAAGAAGAACTGCATGAAGTGCAGAGTGAAGTCGAAGAAAAGAAGAGCAAATTCAATTCAATCGTACAACTCCAACACGAGCTCTCAAACAAACTCCAATTATCCTCATTGGCAAAATCGCGTGCTGAGACTCAACTAGAGAAAGCAGTGAGAACAAGAGCTGAGATGGTTCCAGAGATTGAGAAATTGAGAAAGCAACGGGATGTCTTGCAACGTAGGATCGAGTTCTGCAGAGAAAAAGATGCAATTGGAATGGCTACAAGGTTGAGTGACTTGGGCTTTAGTTATAAAGAATTTACGGCTGCAGAGATTAGAGTAGCCACAAACAATTTCTCTGATGGTCTGAGGTTGGAATCGGCGGGGAATTGGACCAACGTGTATAGAGCGCGGATCAAAAATGTTGCAGTTGCAATCAAACTGTATGATTCAGTAAATGAACTGTCTCAAGAAGCTTTTCAAGCCAAGGTAAATTTGATAATAAGGCATAGGACAATTTGTTGGCCTTATGACTGTTTTAACTTTCACATCTAGAATTATTATAGGATCAAAATCCATGATTTGATTCAGTTATTAATGGTATGGCACTGTGAATGATCTTCCTAACATAGGTGAAGCTCCTCAGCCACATTCGGCATCCCAATATAGTCGCCATGATCGGGTTTTGCTCTGAGCTAAAATGCATTGTGTATGAATACATGAACCATGGTTGCTTAAGAGACACATTATTCTCATCATCCAGAAGCTCTAAAAGAAGAAGCCAGGGTCTCCATTGGCATGCTCGGATACGAATTGCAGCCGAAGTTTCCTCGGGCCTAGGATTCCTTCACCAGGCCCAACCCAGGCCCATTGTTCACGGCAGCCTCAACCCCTCCAAAATCCTTCTTGATCGCCATAATGTCGGAAAAATCAATGGTTTTAGTCTTGGTTGGTGCCATGGTGAAGTTGATGTGTGGTCAGATATAAGAGCACTAGGGAATGTAATACTACAGCTTCTGACTGGGCGGAATTGGGCCGGGCTTGTTGAAGAGATCATATTGATGATGGACCATTCAACCCTCATTGGGGTCTTAGATCCGATGGCTGGAGAATGGCCATTGGATTTGACAGTGGAGCTTGCCGGAATAGCTGTCAAATGCTTGTCCATTGAACAAGCGATAGACAAGGAGTCGACGATGAAGACAGTGATGAGAGAGATAAAAATGGCAAAGAAGAAGGCCGATAATCTGGTGGCGAGCAGAGAATGTCCTGTGGAGATTGAAGGAGGTGCTGGTATGGAGGACTCCAGCAATGTACCAAGTGTTTTCATATGCCCCATTTTCCAGGTTAGCATCCATCTTTCAATTTTCACTTTCCAGTTATTCACACTAAAACACAAAGCAAGGACTTATTGGATGTTTGGACAAGCAAGACCGGTCGGGCCATTGACTGGACAAGGGGCCGATTGGGTGAGCAAATCAAAAAATACCTGGGCCGTATCACCTCGTGGGTCTAATAGGCCAAAACACACAGTCTGTGACCCTAAATGTCGGGCTAATGAGCTGCCCACGGGCCACCAATTAACTCTGTTAACCTCTGGTCTAGCCATGGGTCTTTTGATGACACTTAGATGTTGTTTGAAAAAATTGAAAATTGAAAATTGAAAGTTGAATCAATAAACTGTTTGCTACTTATTGAAATTTAAATACTGAATTGAATTAAACTGTTTAATAATTACACAGAGCTGACGTCTGAAAATAAATTAATTTTTAATTTTATCATTTCACTCTTACTTTGAAAATATTTATAAATTATGTTTTTATCTAATAAAATAATAATAAATTAAAAAATACAATAAGTGAACAATATCTAATAAATAATAAAAAAAAATATTGAAAAAATAGTGTGTGTAACTGTGTGTGCGTGTGTCTGTAACTATGCATGTGTGTGTGTGTGCAATGCGTGCGTATGTTTGTAATTATGTATGTATATGTGTGTTACAGAAGACAAAAGAAGAAGTCAAGGAAGAAGACTTACTTGTGTCGCTTGCTAAAGAAGACGATCAAGACGGCAAGGAGGATAGATAGGTTAAAGGTTTTGGAAAGAAGACGAATTAGTGTTTTAATAAGATTGTGAAATATTTTGGATTATAATTGTCATATTTTATATATTATTAAAGATGATTTTATTAAGCACTTTCAGTTTTCAGAATTAAGTAAGAGGACTCCTATTTAATATTGTGGTCAATTTTTAAGTACTTAATATATTAAGATATTAAAATTTTAGTTATCAAACGAGCTTAATTAATAAGTGTTGAATACGTTCATTTTAAGTGTTAAATTTGAGTTAACAAACACACCATTAGTTTCACCCCATAAATCTATTCCCCTTACCCTTGAGGTAGTACGAAGTTCTCTAAAGAATGAGTGACTATACTTCAAAAGAATTTTTGTGCCACTGGATGATAAACAAAAATGGATTTATGCACCACCTGTCAAATATTAAATACAGTAATAAATGATGAGAGTCAATATAAGTAAAATATAATTTAAGTAGTTCGGTCAGGGTAACTTACTCCATTGTGAAGGACTAAGATGGCCTCAGTGTTTTATTTCTCAAAAAGTGTAAAGTACTCAGATGTGAGTGAGATGTAAGATATGTCCCCTTGTGTAGGTGGAGTTTACAATTTATAGGCACTTTCTCCCAGATTGAAGCACCTTTCTTGCAACATGTGAGGTAATTCCGTAAAGTTGACACCATTATTGTAATAGGGGAGGCAATGACGTGCGTGTCCTAAAGAGATCTCTTCGTATGTCAATTGTGCACTGAGTCTCTCACCATGACACGGCTAACCTGACTATCTCAAGATGACACAACTGACCTAGCTTTCCCCATCTTGTGGTGGGTTTGGCCTGTATTTCTGAACTAAGCCTAGTCTATAATTTTGGGCCAAGCCCATCATATGCCCCCATGCCCCAAGCCCAATAGGATTTGGGGGAGAGGGCATTAGTAAGAAATCTTGTCCTTATCTTCTTTTTGCAGCTAAACTTTGATGAATGAGAGATAGACACGACGGGACTGTAAAGGAGGAGTTGTGGGTGGCTCACAAGAGAGGTGCACCTCTTGAGGCCAAGTTTCTGAAGACTAAGGTTGTTTGTGTAAGAGCATAGGTAAAGTTAGGCTAAGTTTTTGACAACTTGTGAGAGAGCCGTTAAGTTAGAGACTAAGGTTGCTTGTGTGAGAGTAAATGCAGAGTTAGGTCAAGCTTTTGACAACTCGTGAAAAAGCCACTAAATTGGAGACTGAGATTATTTGCGTGAGATCAAAGGCACAGTTAGGCCAGCTTTTCGACGACTCATGAGAGAACAGCTAAGCTAAAAATTGAGACTACTTGCGTGAAAGTAAATGCAAAGTTCGATTGAGTTTTTGGCGACTCGCAAAAAAGCCATTAAGCTAGAAAATGAGGCTACTTGCGTAAGAACAAAGACAGAGCTATACTGAGCTTTTGGCGAACAGGCGGAGAGGAAGAGGGAGATGGCAGTGAGGGTAGCCAGAGGGCACCGATGCTAGGAGACACACGTCGGTGTGAGTAGTGAGGCACTGCGCAGGAGGCACGAGCGTCGATGGGACAGAGCCAACAGAGCGTGGGTGTCGGGTGTGGGAGGTGAGGGCGCCAGATGTGAGGAGGCAGACTACAAGAGGAGTGACTAGACGAGTGCGATGCATCGGGCGACGCTAATTCTAACAGAGCGTCCAAACTAACGAGGTAGGTAGGCAAGGTGTCGAGGTGAGCATGGGCGCAAACGCCCTTGGCAGGCGAGGTATGCGGGCACCTTGGGTACATAAGGTATAGGGAGCACAAAACGGGTGCCTTTGGGAGGAGAGGCGCTGAGGTGAGCACAAGGCGCCCTTGGCAAGCGAGGTGCAGGGCTGAGTGCGGGCACCCTTGGTAGGTGAGGCATCGAAGTGAGCACAGGTCCTAGTGCCCTTGGCAGGCGAGGTGCAAGGAGCACGAAACAAGCGCCCTTAAGAGGCAAGGTGCAAGAAGCACGGAATGGGTGCCCTTGGGAGGTGAGGCACCAAGGTGAGCACGGGGCAACCTTGGCAAGTGAGGTATGGGAAGCTGGGCGCGGGCACCCTTAGCAGATGGGGTGCTAAGGTGAGCACGAGTCTGGGAGCCCTTGGCATGTGGGCTACTGAGATGAGCACAGGCCTAGGCACCCTTGGCAAGTGAGATGCGCGGCAAAACGCTTGGGGTGCTGCCCTTTCTGGGTGTTAGGGTATGGCTCCTCGATGGTACCCAGCGAACAACAATTGGACGAGTTGTTGGTTTTGGTTTACCAACAATTTCATATTCTCCAGTAATTGTGGTTCAACTATAGGGTTTGTCAGCGAGGGCGGGACTTCTTCGTGACATGGTTGATCATCATCTTTTCCATGTTGATTCATTGATCTAGTTGTAATAGCTATAAAATGGAAAGACGGTAGAGTGAAAATGGAGAGATAGTAAGGTGAAAATTAAGTCATTACCATAGATTGCGCCAAATTGATGATGCACAAAAATGAATTTATGCACAACCGGTCAAACATTAAATGCAATAATAAATGATCAAAGTTAATACAAGCAAAACACAATTTAATTAGTTCTGTCAGGGTGATTTACCCCATTGTAAAATGCTAGGATGACCTGAGTGTTTTATTTCTCAAGGAGTGTAGAGTGCTCAGATGTGAGAGATGCCCCATTTGTATAGGTGAAGTTTACAATTTATAGGCGTCTCCTAATAGACTGAGGCGCCTTTCTTGTAACTGGTGAGGAAGTTTTGTAGAGGTGACATCATACTCGTAACAGATAAACAATTTTATGGAGATGGTGACATGCGTGTCCCAATGAGATCTTCTCGCATGTCAGTTGTGACTTGAGTTTGTCATCATGACGCGGTTGACATGACTCTCTGAAGATGATGCGACTAACTTGACCTGGCTTCTCCCATCTTATTGTGGGCTTGGTCTATATTTCTAAACTAGGTTTGGTCTATAATTTTGGGTCTAGTCTAGGCCGAGCCTAATTGTTTTGATTTGTATCAAGGTTCTATCCAAATCTTATTATATAGGGTCCTTTGAAGGTTGAACCCATTTTATAAACTTATTTGAACTTAAATCCACTCAAAAAATTTGATTGGAAATAAGTCTATTTTAATATTTATTGTCTAAAATACCCTCAATAGTTATATTTAATTAAATCTTGTTTGAAAAAACTAACAACTTGTAAATTGAGAATTGTATTAGTATTAACAATTCCTAACTTGTATATTGTGATAGCATTAAAGTTATTTTTCTATCATATCTATTTATATTATATCCGTCATTGCAATAGAGTAACACCATACCGTGAGTACTTATTTTATTGTAGGCAAAACAATAGCTTTAAGTACTCACACAGTTGTATTGAACTAGGTCCCTAAATTAGGTCCAAATAACATTTTTCTTGAAACTAACAATGATAGATAGTATTTATGGTAAGGATAATTAAGTAATAAAACAAAAAAAAATTGAAATATATACTTAATGACAATAATTTAATGAAAAAAAGACTTTATGAAATATAAGTCTGATTATGATACTTAAAGTCAATTAAATTTAAAAAAAAAATCTACGACCACATATCCGTATTGTATAGTCTACATGACCGATTCTCTTTATCCAGAAAGCGTGTGAATAACATTATTCTTCAGATCATTGTTATAAACATATTTGTGTTTGCGGGTGCAGGACATAATGAAAAATCCTCATGTAGCAGCAGATGGGTTCTCGTATGAGCTAGAAGCTATAGAAGAATGGCTGAGGACAGGACACGACACATCGCCCATGACAAACTTGAGGCTCAACCACAAGCTCCTCACTCCTAATCACACCCTCCGTTCTCTAATTCACGACTGGCATACTAAAAGATCAATTCCTCTTGTATAGTGATGGTGTATATCTTCCATTATAAAGGTACAACAAAGAGCATGTTTTTCTTCTTCTTCTTTTTTTTTTTTTCCATTTTCATTCAACAAATAAAAATTTCACTCCCACCAAGGGAAGTGAAGAGAAACTAATTGACAAATCAACGAATCAATAATAGGGTTTGACTACGGTATCAAAGTAGTTGCAGGATTGAAATTCACAATTTTTGTGGGTTAAAATATAATTTTTTGGGGTTTAATTACAACCAAACAAGTTATAATTTTTTGGTATCACATTATGACTTTTAGAAGAATTATATTCAGACCTCCTAAAGTTTGTTACTTAATTATTTTGTTACTTAATTAGTTAGACTTTTTGACATTTGAAATATAACACACAGACACTTTGAGATTTATACGCAAATAACACTTAGACACCTTCTGTCCAATGTCTATTAGTATATCCACTAATAAATTACAATCAAGTTTCTTAAAATTTGTAGGCATATAATACTAATACCCATTAAGTTTAAAATGTTATATTTAGACAAAAAAAATACTCAAATCAAATATAGAATATCAAATATTTTAAATTTTAAAATCAAAATTCATATTCTGTTGTATTATTTATTGAATTAAAATCAAATAAAAAGTCAATTTTTTCTTACAAAATCGTAATTAGTATACAATTATATTATCTATTGGAATAAAACTAAAAAAATTAAACAAGGGATCTAAGTCATTTATAATAGAACACAAATTTTGCAACAAAAATTTATGTTCAATGATGTCATGTATTGAAATAAAATCAAAAATAAAAATCTAATTTTTTTAAAAAAATCATAATTAGTATACAATTATACTATCTATTGGAATAAAACTAAAAATTCAAACAAGGAGTCAAACTGTAATTGACACAATATATTCTAGCTTTAATTGAGGTAATTTAGTAGTTTAATTTGATCATTTAAACGATTAAATTAAATTCTAATAGATAATATAATTGTATAGTACTTATAATTTTTTATAAAAAAAAATTAATTTTTTAATTTTAATTTTATTTCAGTAAATGATACAATAGAACATGAATTTTGATTTTAAAATTTAAAATATTTGATATTCTATCTTTGATTTTAGTATTTTTTTTTGTCTAAATATAATATTTTAAACTTAATGGGTACAAATATTATATTTGATATTCTATCTTTGATTGAAATATTTTTAGTCTAAAATAATATTTTTAACCTAAAGAGTTTAAGTATTATACGCCTACAAACTTCAGGAGATTTTAATATAATTCATTAACAAATATACTAATGAACATTGACGACAGAAATCTAAGTTTTACATGCGTATTTGTACATCAAGAGACTTGTGTTTAATATTTTAAATATCAAGAAATCTAACTACTTAAATGACAAACTTCAAGAAGTTTTAGGGTGTTTTAATTACAAACAAAAAATTGTAACTTGATTGTAAAATTTGTAAATTTATCTAAAAAATTAATAATTGAAAGAATGATACTAAAAAACCAAAAAAACCTTTTAGTACCTTAGATTTACCCATCAAGAGTAATGTTTTTGTCACTAACGAATTGGCATTTCCAAAAGCAATCATTTTGTTAATTTTTTTTTCTACAACCTTTCAGCTGACATTTCCACATTGGGTACATTGGTGAGTGGATCACAGAGGAGTTGAAGAAGAAGAACTACCAATGAAACTCTCTAATGGTCAGCTCTAATTCACAATTCAATAAGAAAGGAAAACGAAGAAGAAGAACAACAACTAGGGTAGAAAATAGTGATTGATTCTTTTCAAGATTCATACTTCAATTGGTATGCAAATCTTCATATTGAACGCTTTCAAGAACCAGGAATATTTTTGTAAATCAAATGATCAGAAGGTTACTATTTTGAAGATGCTATACTTGTTAAGGACCACAATGGACACTCATAAAAACATCAATAATGAGGTTTCAATAGCTGAAAAAGTTGTCCCTTTGGGAACATCCAATAAAATTAGAACAATACAGAAAAGATTAGTCTAGCCCATGTGCAAGGATGACATGCATAAATCGAGAAATGGTCCAATAGCCGAAAAAGACAAAAAAAACTGATTCCTTGCGCAATGTATCCAGTTCAAGAGGACTATATGAAAACAAGAACAGAAAGAAAGAGAAAAACAGAAATCAAATACAGAAATCGAAAGATTCAACATGTTCCCAATCAGCTATGCATACGTATATACTTTTATACCAGCTTCAAGTAATGAAAACCTTTTTATGTGCTGGTACAAGTGGTTACTACACACCCCTGATCAAGAGGCAGCCGAACCTGGCAAATATACAAATCTAGCCACAAAGCGAAGGGACCAGAATAGCTGTTAGTGCATCAAAACAACAGGCAAAGTTGAATTTACCATATATTTGGGGGAAAAACTTGAATTTCTTGGATTTCACAGTATCTTATTAGAGATACTATAGATATCGATAGATCTCTTTGGATACTATCATATCTCTACAGGAATATGAATATTGATAATTTTTTTCTTATTCTATCATATATCTCTAATACACCTACCATTCACTGCCCTAATTGGCATGGTGAGAACTTTCTCCTTACTCTAACAGCCCTACCAACCATTTCAGCAGATCAAATTAGAATTCCAAGAAAACAAGGAAGTTTTAGACCGATTTACAGTGAGAACCATCTTACTAAATTCTTATTTTCCAATACAACCATACTACTGCTAAAAAAGTGGTAGTAGGACTGCCTAAAGCACATAGAGCTGCAATCTCAAAAACTGATGATTTGCAGATGAAATCAAAAGGAAGGAAATCACATAGAGCCACTTTTGTTAAACATCATTCAGGCCATAGTTTCGGTAGTAAATCAATCCACCTTTTAAAGTGTATCAATGCCTAGTTAGCCTCTCATAGACTTGTTGGTCAAAACCAATTACCAACGCACTCTACAAGCTAGTTGTACAAGAACACAAAGATTTCCCTTGTGGCTTTCACCAGTGTAACCCCATAACATATCCTAGCCATGTGAAATCTGTCTAAAATTCCTCATTCTTCTCTTTTCTAGAACATCATCTGCTATTTGAATAAGTCTAAAACAAAAATTTAAAAACCAATCTGAATGCTTCATTAAAATTTGATTCGAAGATTACATTTACTAGCCACACCTGATAAAAGTCCTTCCCTATTTCATAGTTCTTTTCATACACAAGGATAAATACAAGCCCCTTTAAAACTAGTGTATCAAGTACCTTCAAACAACTAGGTTAAGACAGTGAACAATAGCGAACTAAGAAGCACATATATGGACATGAGTGTCGTATCTGATATAATACGGGCACGGATATGGCGAGAATATAACTAATTAAAATAATAATGTGTGTGTGTGTATATATATATATATAAAACAACATTAATAATACCTAATAAGACAAAAACACATCCATGATTCCTCTAATATAATTGAAATAGATCAAAGATTCACATCCACCATTTACTAAATCCTAAATAACAAATAAATGACAGTAAATCACCAAAAATAAAAAATAAAAAATAAAAAAAACAGATGCAGATTTACAGCCTGACAAAAAAAAATAAATCAACATTCAGCAACAGCAATTTTCGGAATCAAATGCACAGCATGACAGCAAAAATCAACAGCACATCACCAACAAAACCCTCCCAAAATATCTCTAAAATTTGAAGACCCTAACCCAATCAAATTAATAAATCAGATAAATCTAAACTTAAAGAGCAAAATCAAACCCAAAAAATACAAAACACAAGTAACAAAACCTAAAAAAAATGAAAAAGGAACCTGATAGCATTAGCAAATCTGAGACTCGCAGTCGCTAACAATAGCTCTGCGACTCGCAATCGCAGGTTGGTCTTCCCACTCCTCCTTGTTGTTGAAGCAGAACTGGTGGAGATGACCTTCGTTCTCCTCTTCTCATTCTCTGTCACGATCCTGTCACACTGGAAATGAAGGCTTTCAGCCTTTCATGATTGCCTCGTCCCTCTCCTTCTCCTTGTTGTCGAAGCAGATCTGGTGGAGATGGCCTTCGTTCTCCTCTTCTCTTTCTCTGTCGCAATTCTGTCACACAGTGGAAATGAAGGCTTTCCGCCTTTCATGATTGCCTTTCAGTCTTTCATTCACAGCGGAAACAATGGCATTTCTTTCTTCTTTTTTTGTATTTTTTGTTTTAGCCCCCTCAATTTTTAAAATTACAAATGAAACCCCGCTATATCCCTCCCATATCCCGCCCGTATCCTCCACATATCCCAGCCATATCCGGTTGCAAAAAAATCGTTTCTCCTGTGCAGGACACTTCCAAAAGTGTTGCACACTTGTCCAGTCGTGTCCCACGCGGTATCCATGTTGGACACATGTCCGACACTACCACTACAACAGCAACCCCTCGACAAGTATTCGTGCTTTCTAGACAGCGAATAATCTGAAGGAAATACCGTTTTACATATAACTTTGAACACCTAAATGCTGACTCTTGTTTGCAACTCAGAAAATTTTTTGCCTCCTTGAATTACTGCTTTCTTCAAGTTCCAACCAACTATTGCATTCAAAGGCAAGGATGAGGGCTCTAGTCCAAATCAGAGGTGCATGATTAAATACAGAACAACAATTGGCTATTAGTCATAAACAATAGCAAAGTTCTGTGTCTGAGTGACACCTTTTATCCCCTTTTTCATAGTCATGCTACTAAACACAAGTCACAACTACAGCAGCAAACACCAGCACCTGATAATTTTCATCATCATTCTCAGTAAAGGAGTTAACCACATACTTATAGTTAACGAAACCAGTTCAGTGATAGCACAGTAATGGTGAATACAGAGTTTCCTCCACATAGAATGATCTCCTAATGAGGTATGTGTGAAAGTAAAAGGTATAAAAACTTACCACGTAAGGAATTTCTAGCATAACGTCTGTATGTGTTCAAGAATTACTTGTTCTCTTTAGCAAATGCCAGCAGATCTACAACTAATTCAACTGGTTTCCACTGAATACCACCAGCTCCATTCTTCAATGATAATAGTCATAAGACAAGTATTGGTGTGGCAATCCTATAGTTGGCCGAAGAAGCTAACAATCACTAAGATGTTTATTCACAAGGAAGCAAAGTCAAATTCAACCCTCAACTTTGGTTTTGGTTTTAGTTAATATGACTATGGTCATCAATTGTTTATAGGCACAATTTATTTCGAGCATAACGACCCAGAGCCAACAAAAATCTTCCAACCTTAAAAGCTCCTAATCTGTCTTCCTAACTACTGCATTCCCCACATAAAAACAATATGTTAGTCCACTAAGCCAAGACCAAAAGACCTTCACATATACACCATGTCTTTCAACAATCCATATACCTAAATCAGCTCCATGAGTAGAAACCCATAAAACAAGAGACTCGTCAGAAACCAGCCATCAGCAACTAATATCAAAGCAAAGTACAATTTTGAGAAGCATACACACATACATAACATGGGACTGATCACAATCAAAGCACAAACAACAAAAAACGAAACAAAGTACAATATTTTTGAAGTATATGTGTGTATATAGCACGTACATAATCATCTGTAAGAATGACAAAAACCCACAAAAAATTCCTGTTGGTGGCATCTATTTTGTGGGTACAGGAGAGAGGAGACCAACCACTCGCTCTTCCTGTTCACGAAATCGACGTTTGAGGTAGGTCTCTAGGATCTCCATGACGCATACGAACCGCTTCATCGCTTCCAGCTCGCGGCTAAGCTCGGCTTCTCGGGCTCTGGCTCGTTCGAGTCGTGCCTCAGTCTCCGCTAACCGACCTCTCAGATCTTCCACCACTGGGCTGTCGTTCGCAGCCGGTGGCAGGGTCCGAGTGGTGGTGGTTAGTCCGTCTTTTGATGGTAATCGTTGACCACCGTAACACATGTTTGGGGGTTATCCCGGCGATGGTGACAGACAATCGTTGAGGGAGAGAGAGAGAGAAGATGGAGAGCCTGTGTCTCTTACAAGAGAACAGATAGAGATTGTCTTTTTAGTTTTTACTCCCTCACCTAACCCTAATGTATTTAGAACAACTCCAAAGAGAATGAATACAATGTGTATCCAAAATATATTTTTTTATTATATTATTTATTTTAAAAAATATTTTTTTACTAATTCATTCTAATAACTTTTCGTTATGTTAATTAATTTTAACTAATTATTAATTATTAAAATTTAAAATACTATATAACATGTCACGTCATCACCATAGTAATGATATCACCCGTGTTATACCACGTGATTAAAATTTTAAAATTTTAATTTTTATTAATAACAATCATATTAACAACAATCACGTTATCAAAATTTTAAATTTTGAATTTTTCAACGACCATATTAATACAGTCATTTTTTAACGATCATATTTACGGCGGTCATATTTTTAGATATGTATAAATTGGATCTTTTCTCTTATTGTCACACACCTCAAATCTATTTATTGGTATTGCACTCTTCTTTGTTTTTATGTTATGGCTCGTCATCCTGCAATCAAGATGATTTTTAATGATTCTGACTTCGATGATGAATTGGAGATGACAACAATTTGTGCCATGAAAATGAACAAACTCAATAGCGAGAAAAGTTTTGGTGTACGTTGTAGTTCCATTCAAGGTCATTCAGTTATTTTTCGCAATCAAGTTCAAGGGCACGAGAAACTATATCGTGATTATTTTGCTAAACCTCCTATATATCACTCAAATTTATTTCGGAGAAGGTTTCAAATGAATCAAGTCATTTTCCTTCGTATTCTATCCATGGTAGAAGTTTATGATCCATATTTTATCCCAAAAAAAAGATACTGCTGAAAATACTGGCTTGTCTTCACTTCAAAAGATGACAGCCGTCATAAGGATGCTTGCTTATGAAGTTACAGCAGATGCTATTGATGATTATGTGAGGATTGACAAAAGCACCGCAATATAAAGTTTGAAAATATTTGTGAGGGTGGTAGTAGCAATTTTTTCTGATAAATATCTTAGGTCACTAAACAACAATGACATTTCTAGATTATTAGCAATATGTATCAATCGTGGATTTCTTGAGATGTTAGGTAGCATTGACTGTATGCATTAGAAATAGAAGAATTGTTCAACAACATGGAAAGATATATATTCTGGTTACGTCTATGAACCAACAATTATTTTGGAGACGGTGGCTTCATATGATCTCTGGATTTGGCATGCCTTTTTTTGGGTTATCTAGATCCCGTAATGATATCAACGTACTAGAACGCTCTTCTGTTTTTGCTCTCATTTCACAAGGTCGAGCTCCTCTAGTCAATTTCTCAGTTAACAAAAGAGATTATACAATGGGATATTATCTTACTAATGGTATATATCCAAAATGGACAAAATTTTGTCAAAATAATTTTATCTTCAAGAGGCAATAAACAAATACATTTTGTAAAATCTCAAAAGTCAGTAAGAAAGGATGTTGAGCGAGCATTTGGAGTGTTTTAAGCACGATTTGCTATAGTGCGTGAACCAGTACGTTTCTAGACACTTGAAGTGCTTAAAGATATTATGAAAACATGTATAATATTACATAACATGATTGTCGAGGATAAGTGGGATGCTAATGAGTTGAACTTTAATTATGATGCAATGGATGAGAGTCCCACTACCACTAACAGATTAACGAGTGCAGAACTTGTTGCATCACCTCCGAGTTCTTTGCTCTTTGATTTTCGTAGTCGTGCTTTCTTAGCTTTCCTTCCATGTGGCCTGTTTAAGGGTCCATAGGATCCACCGTCATCTCCTAAATTTACCGAGTCTACTATAGAAGGCACAAAGTTGTCATGAGTTACATTATGCTTTGTTTTTTGCTTCTTTGATTGAGAATCCTCCATCTATTTTGGTTGATACCTTAACTCATTACATCAATGTTCAAACCGAAAAGAAGATTTATAGAGTTCCTTGTACAAGTTCTTGGCATCACGAATTTAAAAAATCTTACAACAAAACTCATTATTATATCTTTAAAAATACATTATTTTGTAAGAAAATATTCACTTGTACCTTGTCTTTCTCTGTCAAATCACTTTGATTCAGCTTTTCTATCTGTGCAAAGCACCTATAAAATTTGTTGGTGGCTAGCTGAATTGCCGACCAACGATTCATCAAAGAATTTTGATTACAGCTATGACATTCCTTAGGTTTGTATTCGTTGAAGAACTCTCAAACCTTTTGCCAATATGTCTTTGATTTTTGCTCATTTCCTTACCCAACATCCAAACTAATATTAAGTCATGTCAAAATTATCATAATATTTTTCTATACTATAAAATTGACACCTTGTTGTTTTTGAGTGGTGAATTCTACTTGATGAGATATTGGTGAAGATTGACTTATAACCTTAACATCTAAGTTTGTTCCATCATTCATGAGATTGGTGAAGTAAGCACCATGTTAGAATGGTTCCATGAGTAATGCATATAATTCAACATGGCCACCATGGTCGAATTAACAAATTTTCTAGATTCATGATGCCAAGATTCATTAACAAAATATTTTTCACAAATTCACAAATTCCTTACTCAAAATTTTCACAAATCCCCAAATCAAAATTTTCACATTACAACCACAATTCACAATTCAACCACAATTCACAATTTAAAATATCACATAATTGAATTATAATTGAATATTTATGGATATCTATGGAGAATTATAATTGAATATTGGTAAGACTCTGAGACTGAAGATCAAAACATAAAATCTGGAAGATCAATTCAATTACACATTATCCAAATGCATCCAATTTTCAAGACAAAAATGTTGTTTAGTTCAGTTGGGGAATTAATATTGGATTTGATATTCTTTTATTTCAATCAAATGATATGTTAAGCATGCTAGTGTTGCATCTTTCTATCAGGGAAAAATATATTGGGCGTCATTTTCTACTATTTCGGTTTGGTGATTTTTAAAGATAAATTATGGTGATTTCTTTCTCCATCACATTTTAATGATGTAAATCAAGTGTATAAAGCATGAACATAAAGGTCATTCGAAGAAGAGAAGAAAATGCCTTGTTCGGGAATTGTTTTTATGTAGCGAAGAACGCGAGTGACAGCTGTTATGTGAGGAATTCTGGGAGCATGCATGAATTGACTGAGGATGTTGACTACAAAGACGATGTCGAGTCGAGTGATAGTGAGGTAGATGAGGCATCCAACTAATCGTCGATAAGGGGTCGGATCAGAAAGTAGGTCACCATCAGTGTTGTTGAGCTTGAGATTTTGTTCCATGGGAAAAGAAGCATGGCGAGAACCAAGTTGACCACTATCAGCAAGAATATCCAGGGCATATTTTCATTGATTGAGAAAAATGCCTGAAGATGAGCGAGGGACTTCAAGACCAAGGAAATATTTGAGAGGTCCAAGATTTTTAGTTTTGAAGTATTTGGAGATGGTAGTCTTGAAGTGGTTGACTTGAGAGAGATCATTGCTGGTGATCAAGATGTCGTCAACATATATCAAGATGATGGTGATACTGGTGGTAGTGAGCAAGGTAAAAAGAGTGTGGTCTGCTTGAGACTGAACAAAACCTGCACTAAGAAGAACAGAGGTTAGTTTAAAAAACCAATTTTGGGATGCTTGCTTGAGGCCATAGAGTGACTTCTGGAGGCGACAAACACGTGTCTCCCCCTTAACACAATAGCCCGATGGGGGTTGCATGTAAACTTCCTCATCTAGTTCACCATGCAAAAATGCATTGTGAACATCCATTTGATGAATGATCCAACTTTTGGTGGCATCAACAGCTAGAACACAACGAACGGTTGTCATTTTGGCCACTGGAGCAAAAGTTTCATGATAGTCTATACCTTCCACCTGAGTATAGCCTTTGGCTACAAGTCGAGCCTTGTAGCGCTCAATAGTGTCGTCTGCTCAGAGTTTGGTTTTGAAAACCCATTTACAGCTGATGGGTTTTTTCCAGGAGGGAGAGGTTCAAGGGTCCAAGTAGAACTTTCTGCAAGAGTGCGCAGTTCAAATGCCATAGCTTCACGCCAATGAGAGTGGCGGTTGGCTTTAGAATAGAAAGTAGGTTCAACAGATGCAGTAAGAGCAATTAAGAATGAAAGATGAGCATGTGAAAAACGGGAATATAAAAGAAAAATAGATAGAGGGTGAGAAGTACTTGAGGACTGTGCAGCGGATGAAGAAGCATTGGACTCTGTGGGAATAGTAAGACAGACATAATCTAGGAGGTAAGCGAGACGAGTGATAGTACGGCGGGGATGAGAGAGAAAGTTAGAAGTAGGTGTAGGGTCGGAATGTGGGATCGGGATGAATGAGGAAGGTGGCGTACTTTCGGGGATAGGTAGGGATGAAATTATAGAGTGACTAGGGAAAAAAATGTCGGATTGTTGGAAATGGAATTGATCTTCATGGAAAGTGATATCACGTGAGTAAAAGATTGTGTTGGTTTCAAGATTGTATAATTTGTAGGCTTTACGGTTACTAGGATAACCAATAAAGACGCAACGGGAGGCACAAGGATAAAATTTGTCACGGTGAGCAGTGAGGGTTTGAGCATAACAAAGACATCCAAATACACGGAGATGATGGTATGTGGGTGCAGTGTTGAGAAGAATTTGAAAAGGAGTTTGATTTTGGAGAGACCGACTAGGTGTCCTATTAATGAGGTAGACATCAGTGAGAACACATTCGCCCCAAAATTTAAGGGGTAAATGTGCCTAAAAACGGAGGCTGCGAGCGACATTCAAGAGGTGCTTATGTTTACGCTCCGCAACACCATTTTGTTGAGGAGTTTCAACACAAGTACGTTCATGAATGATGCCGTGAGTATGAAAAAAATCCTAGAGATTTTTTGAGAGAATTTCTTGACCGTTATCAATGCGAATAATCTTAACATTGGATT